GCAAGTAGCATGATCTCCCCCCCTTGGCAATTGACAACAATTTTGATGAAATTACTTACATATGCAGGGATATCAACATCTTATGGAAGCATACATGGAGGATGTCCAACGAACTCGCAGATCTCATGGCAAAGGAGGGAACTAGCTCCCACATGGAAAACCAGGCTAGGTCCCCCTCCTTTTTTGTTCAGGACCACAGCCGCACTACATAGCTTGCCCCCACTCGAGCAACCAACAGCTCCTTTGTATTTTTTTGTAAAACTATTGTAAATCTTGATACATGGGCGGATCTCATAAGCCTTTTTGTACGTGAATGACTGATGTATTTTTTATTGATAGATACCCATATTTAGAGGGTGTCTTCAGTTTCATCACAATTTTGTAACTATTACTGTCTTAGTAATACAAAGTTAACAATTCTAAAAAAATAAAAATATATGAGAATGGAAAGATTGAGGAAGATATCACGTATAGAATTAGAGCTGGGTAGACAAAGTGGAGATGCTTCTAGAGTCATACGTGATCGTCGCAAAACAACAAAGCTGAAGCTGAAGTTTAAAATGGTTGTAATACAAACCATGCTTTATATGATGGAAAGTTAGGCGGTCAAGATATCCATAGAATGAGTGTTGCAAAGATGAGGATGTTAGGACGGGTGAGTGGCAACACAAGAAAGGATAGAATTCAAGATAAGAAAGGATAGAGTTCATAATGCATACATTCAAGGGAACTTACTGGTGGCTCGAATAGGCGATAAGATAAGACAAAGTAGACTTAAGTGGTCTGGCCAAGTACAACGTCAACCTAGAACTGCACCAATTAGAAGAGGTAATTTGGTTCAAGTAGAAGGCTCTAATAAACAAAAGGCATGCCCAAATGGACATGGATAGAAGTAGAGAGAAGAAATAGAGGGACTTATGGTCTGATTGAGGGTAATCATTGTTCCAAAAGGTGGACCACCTAGCGCCAAGCGGTCAAGGGGCCTGGGTGCGGCAGTAAAAATAAGCAGCCTACACGACCGTCCTGCCTAAGGGCAAAAATTCCCCTTGTTGAGAGGTATTTTTGGGTTGTTTTATAAAAATAAGTAGGGAAAAGGGTGGTGTTTAGGTTCGTTTCAAACCTAAACCCTATTAGAGCCCATTTTAGAGAGATAGAAACCTCAAAAAACTAGATTTTTGTGATTTCCATAGGATCGAAGCGTTTCTCAAAGTTACGAGAAATCGATCTAAACATCACCCATTTTTAGATTTAGTTTTGGTGATTTTATATGTCTATTTTAAGGGATTTTTAGAACATTTTGATATTAGAAAACATCTCAAAGGTAGAAGTTTGGAGATTGAGCAATCAAAGTTCGTGAAAAATTTTATTTTTTAGACCGCTTGTATTATTTTGAGATGTCTTATTCGGGATCTAACGTAAGTGATGAACCAGGTCGAAAATATGGCTATAACCCGAATCCTTTGGATAAAAATCACATAAGACGCAATTATTGTGAAAAGAATACAAATGGGGGCATAAACCGGTTTAAGAAACATCTTGCCAGTATCAAGGGGATGTTGCCCTATGTAAAAAAGTTTCTAATGCTATTAAGGACGAGATAAAAAAATAAATGAGCATAGTTAAAAATAAAAAAAGGAGAGATATCCATAGCTGAGTTGAGGTCTGGGGTTCGTGTCAATTTTGATGATGATGATAGTGATCAGGAGGGGTGTGAAGAGGTGGAACAGCATGGGTATCCCAAACTAGGGGGAAGGGAAAGGGAATTGTACTTGTTCTAGAAGTGGGGACCTAAGAGGCCTCGAGCTAGAGAGCGTATGGATTGTTTTTTGCCCCAACCTGACCCTGAGGTTGCAAGAGAGAAGACAAAGAGAACAACTATTGAGAATAGAATCAAGAAGGAAGCGAGAGACAGAGCTACACAATATATTGTTAGATGGTTTTATGAGGCGGGCATTCCTTTCAATGCCGCTCGCCTAAGCAGCTTCTACACATTGTTAGAGGAAATTGGCCAATTTAGGCTTGGGTTGAAGCCTCCAAACCCATATGATCTATTAGAAAACAGGTGATTGTCACGAGGGAGTCACAGAAGGATGCATGGGCTCAATATGGGGTTTATGTTATGAATGATACTTGGAGTGATAAGACGAGAAGAAGCCAAATGAATTTGCTAGTGAATTGTCCTTTAAGGGCTATTTTTTTGAGGTCTATTAATGCCTCTGATTATAACCATGATGCCCATTACATATTCCAAGTGATAGAGAATGTTATACAAGTTGCCACAGATAATATTACTCCTAATGTTGCTGCTGCTAATTTGTTGCGCATAACCTAACCCTCGTACCTTTTGGACACCATGTACAACACACTGTATTTTTTTCAGGTCTATTGATGCCTCTGATTATAACCATGCCCATTAAATATTTCAAGTGATAGAGAATTTTATACAGGTTGTCACAGATAACGTTACTCCTAATGTGGCTGATGCTAATTTGTTGCGCATAGCTTACCCTAGTATCTTTTGGACACCATGTACAACACACTGTATATACCTCATGCTTGAGCCTCTTGGCGGTTTGAGCAATATTTCAGGTGCAGTTAAGAAGGCAAAGTCAGTTACGACTTTCATTTATAGCCACACCCTCAGCCTCAGCCTGATGCATAGATTTACAAAGAAGAAAGATATTGTGAGGCCCGGGGTCCCGAGATTTGCTATCTAATACCTATGCCTAGATAACATACATTCGAGGAGAGTCCAGTTGAGGCAGATATTTACCATGGATGAGTAGAGATAATGCAAGTGGTCTAGGGAACAAAAAGGGAAGAAGGTGAGAGATTATTTTTTTAAAGGCTTTTTGGTGATGAGTCTTAAGGTATTTTTTCCTCTTGCCAAAGTCCTTTGCATGGTTAATAGTGACAAACCCTCCATGGGCTACATCTATGATGCAATGGAGACATGCAAGAGAGAGATAGCCCACAATTTAGATGATGATGTGAGCTGCTATGAGCCTGTTTGGAAGATCATTGATGAGAAGTGGGATTGGTAGCTACATCGGCCATCGCATGCAGCTGGGTATTTTTTTAACCCAGCTATTTTTTATGTTGATAGAAATATACACACAAATGATACAATTATGACTGGATCTAATAAGTGTGTAGATGTGCTAGTCCCTAATCCGGATACCCAGGACATTATATGCGCTAATGAGCTAATAAGTTTCAAGTGAGGATTAAAGCCTTTCAGCAGTCCAATGGTGGTGAGGCAAAGGACCAAAATTGATTCAGGTAATAATATTTTAAGTTCCTCAAGTTCCATTTCATGTTTGTTGTTTGTTTTCCATAATCTATATTTCATATATAATTAACAATTGTAATTCATAATCAATTTGCCGCCAACTGGTGGAGCCAACATGGTTGTAGTGCTCCAAATTTACAGAAGTTGACAATTCGGATCTTGAGCCTAACCAGTACCTCGTACAACTATGAGCGAAATTGGAGTACTTTTGAGATGGTAATTAGTTTAATTTATTAGTTTACAAATTACAATTTACTAATTTGCGTTACTACTTTAGTAGTTATTAGTTACTTAGTAATTACTAATTACTATGTCAATTGTAAATTTGTAGTTTGTAGTATTATATATTAATATTAATTAGTTTCATTTGATTTTATAAGGTTCATACAAAGAAAATGAACATGCTTGAATCAAAGAGGCTCAATGCCCTAGTCTATGTCAAGTATGATCGATACCTGAAGGAGAGGTTTGCTAAGAGAGATATGAGAGACCCCCTCATACAAAAAATATAGATAATGCTATGGATGGTTGGTTGACGATGATGAGGTCTAGGGGCATGAAGGATTGACATCGGATATGACCATGGAGGCCTCAAGGATAGCAGCCAACCCTCCTACGGCCCCTAGATCTTCTTTCCCAAGAACAAGGGTGGAGGAGGAACCAGAGGCAGATTCAAAAGAGACAGAGGAGGACGACCATTATGTTGAGGAGGGAGATGATTCTGATGATGATGGCCTCAACTTCAATGCATATGATGTAGCTGATCCTGCTTTTTTTATGATGAGTGATAAAGAGCCTTTTGAGTCTTCAAGCCTATATTTCTTTCATTTCTCTTTTCCTCCTCTTGGTAGTGTACTGTGGTTTCTAAACTTTCAAGTTTTAACCATATGTGGACTATGGATATAGTTTTTACTATGTGTATGGACTATGGAGTGCATGGATCTTGGATTATGGTATGGACTATGGATATGGTCTAATACTCTAATGCCTACTGATTTGAAGTTTAGACTTCGAAGTTTGATTTTTTGAATTTGAAATGCATGGAATTATGGACTAAAATATGTCTCAATATGTATTTTTAAATATTTTACACAAAATCTGACCTTAAATCAACTATTATTCTACTGGGCTGCCTAGGTTCTAGGCATCCGCCTGGGCGCTGGGCGGCCTGGACCCCCTGACAGCCTAGGCGCTGCCTGACTTTTTGGAACACTGAGGGTAATAGAGCCAATTGGCAGAATAAGATTCGTGTAGCCGGTCTCTAGAACAATGAAATAAATGGTTAAGAATCTGTGTCAGCACAGTCAACAGTTTCAAAAAAAAAAAAGAATTTGTATCCGTACGCATGTCAATACCTAAACCACACATGTATGGCACTCGAGTAACATAATAAATTGATCATGTATTTTTAATAGGACAAAACAGCTTCATCAAAATAGTTGAGTAACTCAGTAGCAGACAGTACCCAACAATATGGTGATTTTCCATTTTCCAACCCTACATTATTTTCTAGAGAATATGTAACGAAGAACAACTTTTATCTTTATTGATGGTAATGCACAAAATCTCACTTCAAAACAGGAATACAATTTTCTTAATAAGACTATATAACATTGTCAAGCAAAGGGAGATTCATACAAGGGTAAGCTAAAGAGACTGTTATAAGCAATTAAGAGGACATGCATACTGATGAAGAAAAGCACAATACCTTAACCCTGTAACCACGTTCCAATAGTCTTTTCACCATTTCTGCTTTCATTTGTAGGTCCTTAAGTTCCTAAATAGATATCACTAGAGGTTTTAGCCAATAATTTGAAAGTGATTTCTACCACCTGAAATTGTGTTCATTGTTCAAAGATAATGAAGCTCAAAATTGGATACACAACGGATTTATTTGGCTTTTATTTGGGAAAAGCGGGAACGGAAATTAAGGAATGACTGATGTCGAAATCCACAGAAAAGCAACCATAAATACAAATGCAAGATACTTACAGTTTTCGGTGAAAAGCGGATGTTTTTAGGCTCCCCCTTGCGCATAGTCAGATCTGACTACAATTGGATAACAAACTAGTCATAAGTTCTTCCACAGATATGTCATACCAAACTAACAATCTCCAAAATTAAGACACTTCCAAATACTGACATCAAATATTACAGAACAATGACTCATGGCAAACAGGCACATAAACCAAACATCAGTTTACATGTCTCATTCATCATGCAATTTGCTGATATAATCCAACTGTGAATGGTATTATTCTCTTGTGCTGCATACAAAAAGGGGGCGAAGAAGACACTGCAGATCTACTCCAAGTCGAAATTATCAGAAAGAAGACCAAAATTGACCTCCAAAACTATTTTTCTTCAAGAACTATCTACTTGTTCTCTCTTTTATTTTTCTCATGCAAAATATTAATTTCTACCACAAGAATGGATAGGCATCTATAATGTTTTGGCGTTTCCTAAGATGGATAAAAATACTATTTGGCGTAAAAAAAATGAAATACAATTTCCAAATAAAAGTAAATGATTTTTCTTCGCTAATTATCCTGACTATGGGCCATAGTAACTCTAGGCCAAGCTTTTGTGTAAATTAAACAATCAAAAGGGATTCGATTATGTCCTTTCTTTTTGGATTAGAGCTAGAAAAATCAAGAGCTGATGGGAGTGCAGCACTCTTAGGTCAAGCTTAGGTTGATCAAACCTGAGGCCACTAGCAACCACATTTGGATAAAGAACCCCCCTCACTCAAGGTGAAACAAAAGGAAACCTCTCTGTCTCTTGATGCAGATCAACCAAGTATGCAACAACCCATACCTTGCTCATGGTACGTTCTTTTTCCTTTAATTGGTGCTTGTACTTCTCTCTGTGAAAGTCGATAATTTTACAAACAGGTGGATCTGCTGAGCCTTGAACCTGTACCAAAAAACAAAAACGTATATGTTTAAGTTCTCTACCCAAAGAACATGTCTACATTTGAGAGATCCAGAAAGAAGGATTACCAAATCTATCCACAGACAAGAATCATGGTTATATTTTGTCAACATTCGCAACCAATTAAAAGTAAATGGAAAATGCATTAGTATTAGAAGAAAGCTGTTCACGAGGGAGTTGTGCCTTTTAGGACACTTGGGATGATATTCATTTTCCAGCTGGTAAGAACAACTATGGCAGTAATTTCAATTTTCATTTGAGAGTTGGCCTGAGAGAAAAATGTATAGATTTTTACTTATAGATCCCTCAGTTCTTCCCTATGATTTAACCTAAACCGGACATATAAACTAGCCAAACCTTGAATGGAAAATGGAGGAGATTAGGTAGTTCTTTAAGAGTCCCAAATTGAAGGGCTACAAGAAATCTTGAGCACATGGGACATCTAAGCTCAAATGAGTCATGCTTGGGCCTTGGATCCTGCACCATCCTTTGCATATCGTGGTAGGCCTCCTCTTTGAGTGCATCAGCCAACAGGGACAGCTCCTAATGCAGTTGCATTCTGCCTGCCTCTGATTATTTCCTCTCTTTCACTTTCTTTTTCTTTCTGCACTAATATCCATTATTTTGTGTAGTACTTGAAGGCCATGAGCTTGCTCTTTAAGGTCATTTTTTTCTTCATTTTGGGCATTCATCCAACATAGTTCTGAATGGTTGTGAGTTCAGGCCTTTCCATTTTTCTTTTTTCAGGGCCCTTGAAATTTTGTCACCTAGGCTAGGCTTTGTTATTTTTGGCTAAGACACAATGAATCCACAGATATCCATCACATTTAATTATCAGATTTCAAGATCCTCAATGTGTTCAAAAAATTACCCACTCCTCAGCATATTCAACAACAAAGAAATCGTCGAGAAAATGTTCCATTAGATGTGAGTATCAGTCTGGATGGTAGCATCTTGGTCAGGCCCTATTCCCCATTAATGTGGGCAAAAATGGCAGGCTAGTGCAAGCCCAAGCTTCAAATCTCATCTTAGTATTCGGGGGGCTTGAAATTCTCCCTTGGGTAAAACATATCCTGAACTTTCAGAAGCAAATAGTTGCTCTAAGCATACTAATAGCATTTCCAAAATTGTTTTAAATTTACAATATCGCAATGGGCCAACAGACAAATATTTTTGAATTAGATATCCTTCAATTCAGAGTCCATTGTTAAAAACTTCTCTTTGGTAAAATTTCCACTCTTCTCCCTAAGTTGCCTTTCTAAAACATTAAGGAGCTAATTCGATATCCTTCAATTCACAGGCCATTGTTAAAAACTTCTCTTTGGAAAAATTTGTGCTCTTCTCCCTACATATCAGCAGTTTACAAGTTGCCTTTCTAAAACATTCGAAAGCTATTTTTATTGCCATTATGAAACATTTTTCGAGTTTGCTTCAATCAGCAAATTGAAAACCCAAGTCCTGTCAGATAGTTGGAGGCCTGTTAACAAAGCTTTTGTTTTGGCAAGTGTGGCAAAAGGAATGCCCACAAGACCTGAGTATGTGAGGATGTGGACTCCATCATGGTTTATGAAAATCCCTCCAATACCTGCTGGACCTGCGTGCCTTTAAATAAATCTTTGAAGTTCAAGTTGATAACCTCTCTTTCAAATGCTTGCTGCAGGTAGGATCTTGCAATTGTGCTCGGTCGCAGTTAAAAAACTTTTGTTACTGGTAGCCAAGGGATTGGAATAAACCAGATATGTCTGACAATTTCTGGGTTTTATGTGAGGGTGGGGCTGATGCTAGTTGAGGTACAGGCATCAAAGTATGAGGACACAAAAACTACCCAAGGGGGCGGGCTATAATTTAGTCTTCACTGAAGCAGGAAATAAAATGGAAATTAAATGTGTATAGCAATGTTATTAAGACCGGGCCAGACCATTCGGTCAAACATGACCAATACACAGGTCACACAGGTTAAAATTTAATAATTTAAAAAATTCAGGAAAATAAGGATAAATGAAAAATAGGGAAACCTGAAAAGTCTAGAAAATTAAAAAAATTCAAAATTTGACTAGGAATTCATTTTTTGCTTCTGCAATTTTATTTTTTTCACTGTAAAACCAAAACCATTTTTATTTCTTCAAAATACTTTGATCTACATCAATCTAGATTTAAGTTATATCTGGGTTTCATTTGCTAGATTTCAGCTATATCTAGGTTTTATTTGCTGACCAATAGCTAGAACATGTTATTTTTCTTCAATTTTAAACTTTCTTTCTGAGAAAATTGTAGAAGTCTTCGATACAAATGAGAAATAATGCTATTTTTTTATTTTAGGAAGAAAAGTTTCTTTATAAATTATATTTTAGCATCGAAATAATCTTGATTATATTTCTTTGTATTATAATTAGTCTTCGCCAATTTATTTTGAACAATGCAAATTATTCTTGATTTTTCATATCTGTTTCTCTTTTTTAAGGTTTTCTTCCCTACCTTTTTTGTGAAGAAGTTAACATAGTTTCATTTCCCTACTTTATTTTTATATTTTCTACTTTTTCCTTTTTCTTTTCGAAGATATTTCTTCGTGGTATTTCTTTTACATGTACTTGAGCATTTGATAGACACAAATCCCCACCAATCACGTTCAGATTGGGTTCAGAGAAGTTTTTCCCCAAAAAAAGAGGGATTCCTCAATTGCTTGAATTGTAAGAAAATGGGACTTTCCCATTTTGGGCATCAAATGCTCTCATATATTTTCACATGTCTTGGGTGCTTGTGAATTTAGGATACAAATTAAACATAAACAAGTGTAATTTGGGTTCCAAACGAAAATTTTCCTCAAAACAATTGGGATTTTCTAATTTTTTGGACATCACATTGGAATAACGCAATTTTTTGGCTATTAAAATGCATTTCCCCCACATTTTCTTTTAAGTCTTTGGGGGTTTGCTGCTTTTAAGTAAGCAAATCCCCACTCATGAGTGTTTGGCATGAGTGCAACTAAGAATCTTTTTTATCAGAAAAAAAGGGAATGAGCAATTTTAGAGGACTTGAAATGCTTTTTGCTATTCATGTCAAAGATTGCTTAGTTCCAAGTTTATAATTGGTCTACCTTTCTACTAGAAGTATGTTGCATCCCAATAAGAAAGATAAGGATAGGTTTGTATTTTGGGTGCAAGATGCAAGCGGCTGTATCAACCACCTTAAACATCCCCAGTCGAGTATGTGGGGTGAAGTATCATGTCCAAACGTGCCAGAGAATGTGAGGCAAAAGATCATGGCCATTATCACGACGAATAAGGAGAAAAAGGTTGCAAAAAAGAGGATTATTCATGAGATTGGCATACAATTTTACCAAGCCAGGGATGATGATATAGGGCTTGAGGCCCAACTTGAACTTGCAAGGAGGGCAAGTTTAGAGGATATGTACCACTAGCAAAGCTGTATAGGGAGATATGGAAGGACAGGGTCCTCAAGGACTAGTATAAGTGGAAAGGGGAGATCCTCAAGGGCTCGAACCACGTTGTAGTGACATTGCACTCCTAGTTTGTTCAGGAGAACAAGTTTCATGGAGATGGGTGGGAAGTGAGGACTACAAGGTAGACCTCTTCAACCCACTCAAACCACCGACCATAGCCAGTCCATGCATCAGGCCCATAGTTGTTGGAAATGCCTGATATTTGAAATCGATCTAGGAATTGAAAGCATGGAATTGCGAATGGTTAGAAGATTCCTATTTTTGGAATTGCCATCTGTGAAATGCGAATTGCAAGAATAAATATTCCTACCCTATCAGGGAATCGCATTCCAACCCAAATGGAATCAAAATTCCTACCTCTTTGGAATTGCACACCACCCCAATTGAAGTCGAGATTCATACTTTTTTGGAACCGAATTTCCACCCAATTGAAATCAATATTCCTACGACGAGACAATTGAACCAAAGGATGGAGACAAAAGGGCCTCTAAGAGCATGGGCAGCAAGGTGGGGGTGAGCACGAGGGCTTGATTAGACTTGGGGATGGGTGACGAGGGTGACCCAAGTTACACAACTGAACTGTCATGGAGATCGTCAAGATGACCAAGAACAGGGTGACTTCGAGCTTCCCTGTCATTATTAGTGGTAGTAGTGAGCCATTCCACATGTATTAGTAATCTTGGATGCTCTTATGGAACTAATTATTGTGATGTACTCCAATTAGGACCATTGAAAAATTGCTTGCCACTCTGGTAGATAACACCTCAGTATCAATACGTTTTCTATTTTTTCATCAATATACATAAATTTTCTACTAATTTTTACATTTGCTCATATTCATATTTTTTGCAATTTTTCTAATTTTAATGCTTTTTTTTACCGATTAGACAGGACTGGCCAAGTGGACTTAGGAATCACACAGCCGACTCGGCCCAGGCCATGTCCAAGGCCAAAACCGAATCAGACTTTTAAAACAATATGGCAGATGCATCAAGCTTAGAATGCGTCAGCCTTTCAAAATCCACAGAAACCTTTCTTGATTCCAATATAATGTAATCTTCTATGGCTTTTGCCTGTACCCGTGAGGTGGAAGAAGTCTACAGTTCCTCCTGATAAGTATACATTTGCCTACAGAAGAGGATCTACTGCCTACAATAACAATTCCTTCAGATAAGCACACCTTTGAATTCACCAAAACCCAGTGTCATAAGCAATGTAAAGGAACGGCATAAAAAAAGTACTAAATTTAACCAGTGATAAGGAGGAATAAGTGGCCTTTTTTTTTCAATTACCATTCTTCTACAGTTGAAAGGTGTCTTTTCACTAACCCTATCCGTGTGATTAAGTCTTTTATCTCAAGCATTTCTGTTGAATGTCCACATTGTCAACAGAAACTAACATATTTCATTAAAGTTCCCTTCATAGAGTTGCATTCTATTATGATGGGAAATAAGGTGTTTATATTTAACCTCTTATAGCTCCCTGCAAAAAATGAGATTAGGAATTTTCCATAATGAATTCGGAACTGGAATATAAATCAAAGTTGATGTTTTATGTGGATGACAAAGAAGCACCATAATTTCTATAGCACATAAAATGTTAGAAATAATCTAAACACCAATAAAAAAGACAGCATACCTCAACCAAATCAAGCTTCAGTTTCAATGCACGATCTAGTGCTTCATGTCTTGAAACAATAGCATGCCCTGCAATGATACATTGTTTTATTGTAGGAATTTTCTCCGTTTTTTTTTTGTTTTAAGAAATAGAGAAACATACAGACTGAGCATCCATCACCAAATTTCATTGAAAAAAGCAAGCAAGAATTTTTAAGTCTATAGGAAATAAAATAGGATAAAATGATATCTATGTAGGTGAGGCATACAAAGTTTTTGAGAGTTCATTATAAGAATTATCTAAGTATGACGCACAGCAATCAGAATAAAGTCAATGAGCAAAACAAGACACGTTACCAGAGAAAAAGCATTTCAAATTCAAAAGAACCAGTGAAAAATAAAATTAAGATGGTGCTAATCAATATCAAACATAAGGTTAATATTCAAGATTCTCATACAGTTAATGATCATTCCAAATATATATACACAAGACGTAAACATCCCCTCACCTTCATCAGTGACAAGCCTCACAAAGCGGGCCGTGATTCCTTCATTTCGACGAGGTCCCTTCGTATTTTTGACATCTGGCTTTGGCTTCGGCTTCACCTGTGATTCAGATACCAGACCCTAATTATATAAGATTTCAGTAGTGTACTAAAATAAAAGTGAAGAAGCCACGACCTGAGTAGGGGCAGCAAAGCATCTAGTGGCGATCAGCTGCTTGTCAAGCCTCAAACGAGCAAGCAAACCAGGCTGAGCAGCAGCCTGAATTTCCCTCCTAGCTAATTGCCTCAAAATCAACATCATTCCTACAGTCCATAAATTGAATTAAAACAAGAGAAAGACAATTCAAACATTAAACCACATGCAACATCATGAGTCTCGGGTTATCCAGTTTCAGGCTGAGCAGCAGCCTGAACTTCCCTCCCAACTAATTGCCTCAAAATCAACTTCACTCTAAAAAATTGCATAATGTTTCCAATAAAGGTAAAACAAGCGAGGGACAGCTCAAACATTGAAGCACGTGCAAGATCATGAATTTTGGGTCATCCAGTTTCAAATCTTCTTTCACTTCCCTGGCCGTTAGATTAAAAGAAGAAATCCCAAACCTCTAGATAAATGAGAAAACTAAAATATGATAGATCAACTTAATTGGGAAAGGATTAAACTCAGAAAATTAGATACTACTTATTTATAGCAATATATTATTTATTCCAAGACATTAATAATTACAATGAGGGCAGCATGTCCTACAGACATAATTATTGTGGTAAGAGTCTAACAAACATAAAGAGTAATGAGTATAAACTTTCTGACCAAATAAGTTAATCAAGTAATTAACCACTCAAAGGGCAAGTAACTTTGAGCAACTCTACCACCTCACACAACTCAAGTTCCCAGAGATGGACCATAGTTCGATCGAATCAGAACCAGGATTGGGATTGGGATTGGGATCGGGACCGCAGGATCATAACAGGCAGGAAGCTTCCCTATGGCGGGAATCATGGTCTGTCCACATTGAAATCTAAGGATCTTGATGCAAATATGTGGGGGAGCTCAATCCACTTAAAGTAGGATCGAATTGATAAATTATACAGGATTGAGCTCCAACTAGTTAAAAATCAATGCCTCCAACTGCACTTACCTAGCATGGTAGTGTGCTATATACTACAGTATTATACCACACTGCTACACAATAATAGAAATACCATACTACAATTATATACTACTATACTATGCTATATGCTACTGTATTCAAATATATGATATACTCTAGAGTGTATACTACTACACTATACTACATTAATACACCACACTCACAGAGCATAGGGGTCTATGTGTATGTGAGAGGCCTCGCATTGAACATTTACAGGTCATCTTCTTAGATGCAGAATGAGGCATCGAATGCTCGGTGCCATCTTCTTTCTTCTCCTATGTAGAGAGATACATAGAGAGAGAGCATATGGGTCCACATGTGTGTGTGCGTGAGAGAGAGACTCCCAATGAACGCATGGAGGTTGTCTTTTTTTTTTTTTCCTTTCTTCTTATAGTTGACAAAAAGAGATACCATATGGGTCCATGAGAGAGAGGGGGGGCCTGAAAACTTGGAGGACGTCTTCTTCTTTTACTATGTAGAGAGAGTATGGGTACGTTTAGTGTGTGCGTGTGTGAGAGAGAGAGAGATACCACACATCAACACTTGGAGGTCATCTTCATATTCTTCTTCTTATAGGTAGAGAGAGATCATATGTGTATGTGTGCTTGTGTGTGTGAGAGAGAGAGAGATGCCTCCAATCGAACACTTGGAGGATGTCTTATTCTTTTTATGCGTAGATAGATGGGCAGAAAATGGTTGTCAGAGTGAGAGAGAGGCGCTTCACATCAAACACCTCGAGCCCTTGGTCGAGGGCTTTGTTTTGGCCAAGGGCTCCATATGACTGCCTACGTGGGCAACCTAGGCGGTCCTAGGGCAATGAGCTTGGCACCCCAGTAAAAAACTAAATAGGGGGGATCCGTATCCTCTATAGCTCATGATCTTGATCCCGATTAGGAAGGAGTGAGATTCCAAAGTTTATAATCAAAATTCCCTTCTCTAAACTGCACGAGCATTTTCTGGAGCAGAAATGACCCCTTGGTTGCAAGATCCCTGTGACTATGAGATGGACAGAAAGCAGTACATGATGTCTGATTCGCAAGTTGCCTATCTACTCGCATTCAAGGGGCTTCCTTTTCTAAATTTTTAGGTGGGTGGGTGGGATTGTTTGTTCGGGGGGGGGGGCACTAGAATTGTGAATAAGTATTACCCATGAAGAGGGCTTCCACCTCAACGGAAATGGAAGTCCCCATGGGGCCCAAGAAAGCTTCAATGTTATTCATGCTAACTCTAGAAAACAACACCAATGCTAGTCACCTAGGTCAATAAGCTAAATACGGTCAAAGGTTGAGTTTGAAACTTTGAGTATTCCCAATTGTAAGGGGTCCCCACCAGGTATGTGTTTCATGTTGGCATTGGCAACCACGTCCCAAGCCCAAAGGCCCGAATTTCCTTGACCATCGCTTATGCAGTGAAATTGTCTTCAATGTTATCAAGAGGCATTGTGGCCGACTCTAGTTCCTCTAACATTCCTTTCTTTTTTGTCCCTCCATGAGTTATGTTCCCCCGTATCTACTAATAGACCAAGTGGTTTCCATGGGCTATGACTCCAAGGATCCACCCATAACTTGAACGCGAAAAACACTCTCTCTCTCTCCTTAGAGGGTATTTTGCTACATTTTCTTTTTCCACTTCATCAACAATAATATCCCAAAAATCATCAAAAATTTTGGGGGATTTTGAAGGACTAGAGGTAGCTAATGACCAATTTTTAAACAAAGCAATGGTGTCATGTTACAAATTTTTCCATTTGTGTCATAATTTAAAGTTTATAATTTTATATATTGTCACATATACATCCTAACTCACAAGCCTGAAGAGGAAAAGAAAATAAGTATCAAATATCATAGAGTGACGGTAAAAAAAGGTCCTCCCACTCACTATAAATTTATAATCTCATTAACTTGGGCAATCTTGCTTGGAGAAATGTAGCAGAAATCAAAGTCCAGATTTCAATAGATAGAGCAATCAGGGTTTACACGAAATAATAAACCAACCATGTACCAAATTCCTGAATTTATTGATACAGAAGAAAGCTAGAAAGTCCAGTGCCGGGATTTAGAACTCGGATAAACTAAAAAAAACACCTTCCAGATACTTTACAACTAAGACTTTGATCAATAAGACAATAAAAAGAATGAATCCATTTGTTTTCATCTGAAGAAACAAATCCAACCGATCCACAACTGCATAATTACACCAAAAAATACCCAATCCAAATGATCCATAACTGCATAATTTCACCAAAAAATACCCAATCTTTCAGCCAAAGAAGTGTTAGGATTAGAGCACGTCCCTAGTTCCAGTCTCGATGGTAAGGTATTCACCCAACTCCCTCCTTTCGAGCTGCCTTGACCAATAGCAGGGTTCTGTGCCTTTATGTTGTGGAAGCGAGGGATCAGTTCCCAAGGAAAGGGAATCCGCTATGACTTGAGGTTTTTTTTCTACTTGTAAAAACCAGCTTTTTCTTGAATGTACTGAGAGGAAATTCCCGTTCTAAATAAATGCATTGGAAAAGCAGAATAACAATAGGTACCTCAGTTTTCATAAACTAGGGTTTCAAAGGAAAATACCTGGTAAGCTTTGAGACACAAATGAAGGGATGTAAAAAACAGTTTTTTCTTGAATATACTGCGAGGAAATTCACATTCTAAATGCATGCACTGGAAAAGAAGAATAACAATAGGTACCTCAGTTTTTCATAAACTTCCCTCCCTCCCTCCCTCATCATAAGATGTTGATCAGATAATGATATCTTTCTTTCATGATTTGCTCTTTAGAAGTTAAATCGACTCATTTAGTCGCACATACAAAATAGACAGTTCAAGTAGTTAATTATTGATCCAAAATAGGTAACCTCCATACAGTTCCAGTTGAACTTGACATGAGAAAAACTTGCTCCACATGGTAAACAGCTTTGTACCTTCCACTTCTAATTGTCTCTGAAGGATAAGAACTATCCAACAAAATTACAAGTTCAGAGAAATGATTGCTTATTCTAGAGTTCGAAAACAATTAATATTATCACTTTGTCTGACATTTTCCTTCATCTTTTATCGATGTATTCATGTAATGCACAAGGGAAATCATCAATCCAAAAAGGTATGTTCACAATAGACCTCATGATATTTTTATCATCGCAATTATAAAAATAACTCAAGCTCATGTGCTCTTAACTGAATAAGAATCACACCAGATCACTTCAAGAGAAAGAAAGAACCACAGAGATCTTCTAGTATAGTTATCACTCATGTAATCTCTAGGATCATCAATTGAGGTTTAGGAAAGAAGTTGAGGATTTTGCTACAAAATTTATATGACTCTCAAAACCAGAGACTCCACAAATTGTATCATGGCCAGTTAGATGCCAACAAGATGGCTAATTCCCCAGAGTAAGAGAGACAGAGAATTCTTGATACAACCTACAATAGGGCAAACCGCCTCAATATGAAATTATGTACAATACATGTTCCCTTTAGTAATGAAATCAAAATGTTCTTATAAAACCATAACAAACAGCGGGAAAAAGATGCCAACACTTGTACACGAAGTTTTAAAGTTTAATATTAATACCCATCATACACTCTAAAACCTAATACATACTCTAAACTAGCGAGTGTATAGATCATTAATGAATGGTTTGGAATTAAGGCACACTGCATTATTTAATATTTAGAAGACAAACTTAAGGTGGAGTAAGGCATACTACAGGGTAATTGATGAGATCAACCAAGAAAAAAAAAAAGATGCAATCAAATGGGAAAGTTTTTTCCTAGTTTTTCATCAAACGCATGTGTACAAACAAATAATAACACTTTTTCTCTCCATTCATCCATACATTCATGAAGAGATTAATTCCATTTAACTATTTTATCAAAAAAATTCATACAGGGAGAAAGCCCTAGCTCTATATTGTATTATCAAAGGGCAAAGCAATACTGTACCAAGTAACGTAATTGCCTGACTCATCAATAAAGGAGAAAAACGCACAATCAAGTGAGGGCAAAAATCCACATACCCATGGAACCTATCAATGGCATCAATAAAAACCTAAAATTTCCCAGAAATTGATACAAGGAACAATGTAAAAATTGGTTGAAGGTCAACAATTGTGCAATGGAACCAACCTCCTCTACCAATGTTAAGGCGAATCTCAGGCACTATTGGACAAAGATCACAGCCAAGTCCAATCTACACTGAGTACAGTCAGCTCATCAGATCTTTGGCTTGGGTCTATGAGCACCAGGTCATCGTGGGGCCTCCCGTTATAAAGAATGAACTAGGAGACCCAAAAAGCTAAAAGTGACTTTCAAGTTAGGATAAATTTTCAGAATTTTCAGGAAGATTAATTTGCTGGTTTAGAGCTTGTAGGCTCCTTCTTCCATCAATGGAGGAAGATGTACTCTCTTTCTTTCTCTCTCTCTAGGTTTCGGGGTTGTACGTTTTAAGGTCCGTAAATATACTCCCTCGCTGGATTTTTTTTCTAAAGCGGCTTCTTAGCGAGCAGATAACCCCCTAACCTTTCCGCTTTTTTTATCTTTTTCCCTGAAAATAATTAAATGTAGTATTTAGTATCTCATCCATTATAAACCAAGACGGCAAGCTCTCTATGCTTTCCATACAAGTTCTATCCACCCCCTTATCCAACCGTCCGTTCTGAATGGAGGGTTAAGATTATCCCAATCACAATATCACATCAATACATTATTTTATTTTATTTTATTTTTTTATGAATTATTTTGGCACTAAATTTTAGACGTCTATTCCTCTATTAAACTTGCACAAGAAATATTTTCAATAAAATAAAATGACTTAAATACTTATGAAAGTTTCAAAAGATATTTTGGTCATTATATTTTATCGAAAATTTATTTTTAATATTTTTTATTAGTGCGACCCCATGAGAAGATGGTACGTACCAAATTTTATATTAATATAATTTATATAAAAAAACTAAAAATAAAATACTTTGAGACATCGGATCTAAGATCAAACGGTGAGTAGCTCTCTTGATCAAAATTGAACGGGTGGATGATAGGAGAGGATAGAACTTCTATGCTATAAGGGAAGTATAGAAACATTTCCCTAAACAAAAAATATCTTCCCAAGAAGATCACACGAAATCTATAAAAATAAAATAAAAAATAACAAAAATTTAAATAAAAAAAAAATCTAAAAAGTTCCATACAAATAATTATCAGAGACCTTGACTGAAACACCCTCAATTTTTTATGTTTCTTTTATCAAGGAAAATTGTTTCATGCGGGGCTGGACCATATTTCTACAATATGTAGTCCTAAAGTGAGATATATGTACGATGGAGCGCTAGCTAATTTTTTAACATCTAATGGAGACACAAGTGAGGTTTTAGTGACAATAAGTCTACATCAAGGGTCAGCGTTGAGCTCATACCTCTTTGCTTTAGTTATGGACAACTTGACTAGACATTTGCAAAATGAGGTACCGTAGTACATGTTGTTCACAGAAGACATAGTTTTGATCGATAGACCCAAAACGGCGTCAACACAAAGTTAAAACTTTGGAGGGATGCTATAGAATCCAAAGCTTTTAAGATTAGTCGGACTAAGACATAGTATATGGAATGCAAATTTAATAATAATAGAAGTATAGACGAAGAGGTAGTTAAGATTGACGGCCAGGAAGTACAAAAAAGACTGTACTTTTGATACCCTGGGTTGATAATCAACGAAAATAAAGAGATTAAAGAATATGTTGCAAATAGAATTAGAGCTGGGTGGGCGAAGTAGAGATATGCAACTGGAAATTTATGTGATCGCCATATACCAATAAAGCTAAACGGTAAATTGTATAGGACAGTTGTGAGACCAGTTTTGCTTTATGGGGCAAAATGTTGAGCAGACAAAAAACAATATATCAATAAAATGAGTGTAGCGGAGATGAAGATGTTGAGATGGATGAGTGGTAAGACAATAAGGGATAGAATCCGAAATTAATCTATTTGGGAAAAGTTTAGCTATAGCACTAATAGGAGATAAGATGAGAGACAATAGACTTAAGTGAGTTGGCCATGTATGGTATTGACCCACTGCATAACCGGTTAGGAAGTACAAGTTTATTCAAGTGGAATGATTGAAAATGGCAAAAGGTAGGGCCAAAAAAATGTGGTTGGAAGTAGTCCGAAAAGATATGGGGACTTATGGCCTCATTGAGGGTATAGCCTTAAATATAGCAGAATGACGGACTAAGATTCGTGTAGCCGACTCCAATTAATTGGAAAAAATATATGACGATGATAATTATGATGATGTCGTCCAAAAGTATAAAGCATCCATCTTAAAGATGGATGCAATTGAAACTAACAGTCCAAATATTTTATTTGTATTCATGATCTCCATGTTAGAGATTACATTTCTTTAAAAATTGGGTCCGAAAATTCATCTCAAATATAGATTTTTAAGAGCCGACTCATTTCTACATGGACTAATAAAAACCGTATCCTTTTATCAATGATGTTCCTCCAATCTATGAAGTTCCCAAGAAATTGGACCCACGTTGCCGGTGTTCCATGAGAGTGCTTAAAATGAGTAAATAAACCAATATCAAGACTTGCTGGTGTTCCATATACCAATGAAAAGTTCTTAAAAAGGAACAAATAAAACCAATATCGAGACCAACTACAAAGCTGAGGGGAAGTTTCTGATTTGGAAGCAATAGAACTTTATGAGGATTTCAATGGAGAAAGCGATCTTGTCTAAGGTTAAATAAAAAACTTTAAAAAATGGCTAGCTCTACCTAAAATTAGCAAGTCCAAATAATAAAGCTATACCAAATAATTTGCTTAAGAAAAAAATTTATGTAAGGTGTCAACCTTATACTGTACAAGTAAGGTGCACCTAAAAAACCTAATATAATGCTAGAAAACCCTAAAATCCATCATCTCGCCCTCGAGATTCGTAGACATGAAAAAATAGGATTTCTAGTTCTAAAGATAGTTCATCTTCTAATACTTATCTGGACAGTCTATTTTCAAGATTTTCAAGTGTTTATAAATTTGCTTGATCATCACCATTTATGAAATTTCAAATTTATAATTGGGGGCAACAATAGATTTTCATACCGTCGTAAGGCTTTACGGCACCAAAACTGCATTCTTGGCATAGTTTTGAAGTGTATCTTACTTCAGTAGTATAAGATTGACACCTTCTACAAACCTCACCTTTTGTTTAAAGCTTAATCTTTTGTTTTATTTCTTTTACAAAATTACCCTTTTAGAATTTTCGAAATCTGGAAATTATTTGTAAATTTTTTATTCCAAAATTCAAAATTTTCATTTGGCCCATTTGTTTACAATCTTTCTTCATAGGCAAGGTTAAGAGCATTTGGATTTTCAAAAATATGAAAACTTTTAATTGTTAGATTTTGAAAATCTGAAAATCCTTATGAGAAAAATGCAAACAAATCATTCACATTAAAAAATGATCAATTTCAAATCTTCAATATTCAAATTATGGGTTGAATGGTATTTTTTTAAAATAAAATATGTGAACAAAATAGTACAAATATAATAGTAATACATATTTAGATAGGATTTAAATAATACAAATTAAAAAATAGATATGCATAATTTTCTCCAAATAAAATTTTGAGCGAGAGGGTTTTAAGTTTATAAGCCCCATAAAAATTATCCAAAAAGTTAGAGCCCAGAGTGACCATGGGTTGCTTTTTTTTTTTTTTTTTAGGTAAGTGAGTGACCATGGGTTGCTTTTTTTTTTTTTTGGGTGAGTGAGTGGGGAGTGGGCCTCTACTTTTAGTAGGAATTGAGCCTAAGATGACGATTATTAGTGATTCAGTTGGGAGAGGGCCACTATTCTTGTTAAGAATTGGGTTTAGGACATAGCGTTGCAAAATCTTCGAGCGCTAACCAATTAAGCCTAGACACTTTTCCATAGGGTAAAAGCTAAGGCTTCGAAGTTCTCCTCTTTCTTGTAGCTCTCCCCTAAAACAAACTGGGGAAGGCTACAGCCATGGGATAGTAAGACTTTCCCCAACTTTCGCAGTAGTCAATACGCCCTAGGAAAATAATTATCAGACATACGTCTTACCATGCATCAAACATGCCGGTTCAATTGTATTGGCAAAATACCATGGGTATCCCATAGAAAGGGGTCCAAACATCCAGATTTATAAAAAATATTTACTTTTTAAATCTCATTCCACCCCTCTTAAAAAATATCTTAAAATTATTCAAATTGCCCTATTTTGGGAATTTGATCAAGCAATAGTAATTAAATAATTTGATGAATAATAGTAAAATGCTTGTTTGGGACGGGTCAAATTATCACATTGGTTCTACTTGTTTGGGTTCTAGGCCCTGAACAAAAGCAATTTGGGTATTTTTTATGGTATTGTTTGAAGTACTTAACATTTAAAGGTAAAGCCTCTTAATTCGGATCTTTTAACCCTTCTAATGATTTTGCAAAGGTTTTTTTAACAAATCCCTTTAAATGATATTTTCCCTTAGAAAAAACAAAATTTACAATAAGCGCATTTTGCATGTGCCTAAAAATATAATGTCATAAACTTGAATAGAGTTCATTGAATTTGGACAATCATAGTTGAGTATTTAAAAACTCAATATCGATTTCCTTTGTCTGAAAAATTCTTATGGTGATTATTAGGTCGATCTCAAAAATTCATATGGAAAAAGTAATCCTATATAGCACGATAAAGTATGTGTGCAAAATGCTCAGTATGATTTTGGAAGAGAGATTCCGTGAAATTATAATCCAAGAGGAATAGACTGAAAGAAGACACCTTCTTCATGGATCACCGTCCGCGCCAACTAAAGATCGTCGAAAACTGATTAGAAAGCTTGAACCTAGGACCACAAACCCGGCACCATCTGAGTCAAAATAATGTTGGTGCAAGGGGACTGTTTTTATTATCTTTTGGGGCACATTTGTTTTTTTTAAAAGATATCTTTTAGAAATTTGAACGTTTTGTTATGGAAGCACTGGGTTTGATAACATTATTGAATGTTTAGAAAGTTATGGGTATTGTATTTGATAATATATATATAAAGAAAAGTTGGGATTAGCCCACAAGCTTATATAAACATATGAGCCTAACGGTTCAGATTGAATTTGGGCCGATCTGACGATCAAGGATGTCTGGTAGTGTTTGAATTTTATTTTATTTTCTACAAATTCAAATCACTTGAAATTTTAGGTGTGTTTATAAAAAATAGGTAAATCTTTGAAAAATATCAAAAAAATATTTTACATGAAATAAAATGACT